AAATTACAGCAATCCAACAGCAATTTGGTGAGGAAAGTTGTTTTGTTTGTGGCTTTTTGGTCGACATTACCTCGAGATACACTGCCAACAGTGCTTTGGGTGAGTCCGCTTCAGGTCTCTGAAGTGCCGAACTCACTCAAAAGGACCCTGCCAAAATGACCGGACGGCTCAAAATGGGAAAAGTAACACATCACGAATGATTGAAACCTCGGCCCGCAGGTGAGCTCGGTTGGAACACTGCGCAGCACATCCCAAACACCATCTGGTCGGGGGGAGCCATAATCACAGCTGATTTAGCTAAGAATTATCCATCCCTTCCAGTTTCCAAGTGTAAGTGCTCCAATTAGCATCCAGCAAGTGGAAATGTAGATGCCCAGTTTCAGTCGCATGGTCCCCGTGCCTCCGCCCATTTCCTCCACATCTCAGGCGGCTCGCCCTCAGGGATCACCACGTTGCCAGGGCCCTACGTCGCAAAGCTCCCAGATGTTTGGCCGGATTGGTCGTATTCTGGTTTCGGGGTGTGGTTTTCTCATGGCACGAGGTGCTGAACGGCGACTGGACGGACGCCCAGGTGAACCAAATGCGGGATTGGAGCTGTTCAGCCCTCGCCCCCCTCTATTTCTGTTGTAGTCGCGATGTAAACGTGTACGGGGAACGGCCCCTTCATTTGGGCCAGGCATGCCTCCTTCCACACATTCAGCGGTGGGGAGCGTGGAAAGAGTGAGCAGGAAGCTTTGTCAACAGCAAGCTCGCCCTCCTAAACCTCGCCATCTGCTTTTAAATGTGTACAGGCGGCCCGTCTCAGCACACGATCGGATCGGTCTGAAAGCCATGCACCCTAACACATGACATGCCATGCAAGATGATGCAAGTCACTCATGGCTGCCCAGAAAGGAATCCTGATGGCTGCAAACCAAGCGCTTCCTAATGGCTTGGAAGCCGGCCGTCTTGACTCTGTGCAATGAGCGTCCCAGACTAGGGTCGCTCTGAAAGCTGCCTGGCTCAGACTGTGCCCACGCTTTTCCCAAAGGTATCGTGGTGGCCGCAAGAAACATCTACGGGGGCAAGGGTCCTTACTGAAGGTGCCAAACCCTTTCATACATCAATTGGGGGGTCTCCAATTCAATGTCCAGTTTGGGTATGGAATCTTGTTTGGGAACTGGGCCTCTGGACATCAGACATGGGCCCTATTTCACCATTTCCAGCGTTCCAAACCAGTACTTCTTTCAGAAACCAGCTTAGGGAAACCTCGGCGAGGCGAGGCTTCGGACTCCGATCAAATGTGCTGTTGTGGTTGTTTGCGGGTTAAAAGGTAGCATGATGGACACCTGACGCAGCAACCGTTCCCTCACTTTCCTGAGTGGACTTGCCAAACAAGAAGGTTCAAAGTTCTTGCTTGCCCCTAAAATGGCCCAAACCCAAACAGCATAAAGTGCAGAAGTTGCGTTTCCGCTTGCAAAACTTTGTGGCTATTGCCTAAGTTTCGCTTCTTCTGAACAGGGCGTATGGTGCTCCCACCAGCAAGGAGTGGATTCAATTCCTATCGCTTCGCCTCCAGGTGGTCATCCACCATGACGTTGCCCGTGATCAGAAGCCCAGCGCCGCCCAAGGCCCATTGCCGATAGAGCTCCACCAGCTCAGGGCTCACCTTTCGATGCGTCAGCGTCCAGCCGAATCGGCGGTTGGGCGCTCTGCGGGGTGGTTTCCCAAATTTACCTCCAAGAACCAGAGGCTCAAAAAATACCAAAACCAACTTGGGGATACCTGATAAGAAAACTTGAATAGGGAATCCACTCAAATGTCGAAAGTTGGCTGGTGGAACTGAATCTCCATCGGAGGAATGATGAACAAAGGGCCCCACATGCACATTCATGCCCCCCAAAAAAGGGGGTCTGGAGAAAGACGGGACACATCGCAATCCTCTTCTTGACCCATGGGCTACATAACGGGAGTGCAACAAATCCGTTCATTAGGATATCCCAGGACGTCCCAACTGATGAAAAGGAGAGTGTCCCGGGAGCTTCACACTCGCGCATGGTCAAGCTCGCGATTCAGCCTGTCATAGAAGTCATATTTCACATTCGAAAAGGGGCGCCACTCTGAATGGCCATGAAACTGCAGCAACTCAAGCAACCACTTCCTGCGTGGATTGGTCAGAAGCTGTCCAGACGGGTCGATGTTTGTCAATGAAGTGGTCTTGCCAAACAGGTTTCAAGTCCAGAACCAGTTTCAAGGGTTTCAGCGGCCGAAGCGCCTCCCCGGTTTTCACGTGGCCCATGTGCTCGGAGGTGGCGGTCTTGCAGAGGCGGTTGGGCATTCTGAGGCCGCAGGGCAGTTGCAAAGGCTTCCCCAAGACCTCCATGGCGACTGACTGGTCTGGACGCCGGAGGGAAAGCGGGGGGGGGGGCTCTCCAAATACCCCGGCAGGCGGCTTGAGATCTGGGTCATCCGGAGATGCGAAGGCTGAAGCGGCCAGAGGCTGAAGTTGTAAATGGCTGTGCGACAGATTGCAGGGGCGAAAGATGTGAAGGCAAATGGGGTCTTGAAGCTGGAGGTGCTCAAAACCACAGAGGGGGTTGGAAGCATGAGCTCTCTGCGGGACCACTTTCAGCCCTGGAACTGAAGAAGCTGCGTGTGAACGAGGGCGCAGCCAAGTGGAGAATGTGTCAACTTAAGCGGTTTTTTCCGCTTGCTGCCCCTTGGCTTGCTTGAGCCGTGTCGTGCTTTGTCACAGCAGGGAACAAGCAGCGGCCGTGGCTGTTTGGAGCTTAAGGCACTTCAAAACGGAGTTCTTCCCCCGCAGGCTTAAACATGTAACCTTGCTGGGCGTGTCGTTAATGAGGGGACCCACAAAGTTGTGGTTTCCCTTTCGGTTTCCCTTGAAAAAAACCAAGGATTGGGTACCCCGAAAAAAGACACACCTGTTTTGGAGGTCCATTGAAAAAACAGCTTCCCAAAGAACCAGGTCTATCCTGCAGGACCTGTGTCAACAACCCATGCCGGTTTGCCACGTGGCCGTGATTGAACAAATCTCTTTGTTGGTTGGGTACTTCCCCTGCTCGCCAAACAAGGAAAACCGGCTAATTGGGAAGGCAAACGCAAGGACACTGGCTTTGAAGGCGCTTTTCCGGAAAGAGTACCGACCTGGCCAAATCGCGCGAATTCAGAAATAAGGACGCCCGCTGAAACAAGTGTGACTGAACGGGCCGCTGAGGCTCGTCAGGTTAATCTATCACCCAGGCCCAGGCCCAGGTAGAGGTGTTTTAACCGTAGTTTTAACCCACCTGACGGGCAAGTCAGCTGAACAAAGTAGAGGGATCGCCGTCCTTCCCTCTTTTCAGGGAATTCACGACGGTCTAAAAGGCACCCCCGTGTTGAACAGCCCTCATCTGGGTGTGTCCTTTCACAGGAATCGGACCCCCCAAGCAGGGTGATGTTCCTTGATGGTTTTCCTTCACAACCAAGCCAATATGGGTTGACTTCGGGGGCTCCCTTCGAAACCGAAAACAAGCGTGCCGCTGGCCTGGCACAGACTTCGCGGAGGCCGAGGCATTTGGTGGCACGTTCAAAATACACACGGCCGGCGCACGAGGGCCCGTCCTGCAAGCGGGCTAGCCAGCTCTTGGCACTCTTCACGTACCTCCGGAAAGGCGCAAGTTGAGGACACCGGCCCCATCAAAGCTTCGGCATGGGGATCTGAGAGAACCTTTCTGGGATGGGCATGGGGTCCTAAAGCCTCTCCTGAGATTTACTCGGCCTGGGCGACGTAATGTTGCGCGTACATTTTGCATGAAAGGAGGCATGCAAAAAGCCATGCCGCAGAACCTTCGCACATTGCAAAGAAGGCAATATAGAAACTGGGCCAGTCCAAACACCTGCCCGGTTTCTGTCAACGCAGTCACCCTGCCTCACTAGCTGGTCATAGGCGAGCCTCAGCGTGGTGCTTGCATGACACCTCTGAGCAGCTCCAACAAGGCACGCCAAAAAGACCCTGTGGCCCCGGCCTCCCTGTGACCCGGGAATGGCAGCGCATGGGCACCTGCGGGTCCGCGAGTCTGCGAGCGCCAACGTTGGTCCCAAGCATCCCGGGGACTCGAGTTTCATTTTTCCCCCAACAGCTTGAAGCTTTGGGGTCTCAGCCCAGATGATCTTCGGGGTGGTTTGGGGCGGCCCTGAGGCAAGGTTCCACAATTCCACCCGGGTTCCACCACAGTTTCTCTGGGTTCCACGTGGTTCTGCAAGGGCTGCGGGGTGGTGCGAGCTCTAAAAAGAGCACCGCATGCTGTTGGGGAGATCACCTGGACTTATTTTCTACAAAAAACTGCCTTCTTTCAAACCAGATGACAAGACATGCCCGAAACTCCGATGACTTGATGGGGGATGTAGCACCCCAATTCAATAGGCCAACTGAGAAAGGGACACGAACTGAATTTCCCCGAATGCAACCAATAAAACTACGGGATCCCCAAACCACCCCCATGGGCCCCTTGTATTTCCACGCCAGCCGTACCACGCCAACATGCAGAAGTTGGTGTGGTTCGCGCACTCAAACTTGGGAAGGGAGAAGTCACCCCGCCCCATATGTTGACCCCGGATCGATCAGAACGCAGAAAGCTCACCAAGCCTCGAATTCCCTTTTCTCCCACAAACTTGTACATCATATGGACGCAAAAGCAAACATCCGGCTCTTTGATTTTGTGCCACACCCACTTCCATTGTTGTTGGGAAACATTTTACATGTTTTCGCTTATTGTGGTTTAGTGGTTGGAATCCAACCACTTAACTGCTAAGTCTTTCAACCAAGCTTTAGTCACTGGGGTTGGAACATTTTGGTGGTAAACTCTAAGCTTAAACCTGTTTCAAGCAACTCAGGAAGTGAGTGTAAGGAGCATGGTCCAAAGCAGGGCAGTTTTCATGTGGATGGGTGGTGTCTAGGGGCTGGATATGAAACAGACAATTTCGGACATGTGCTTTTTGGTATGCTGCCATGTTGTTTTGATTCCATTTGGTTTTGAGCCACGCAAACTCCAGAACTCCGGGGAGTGAGCGCAGCCACCCCGCTACTTTCCATTCCTTGGGGCCTCCGCGAGCAGCTCCCGCAGCAGCACCCTGGAGGACTCCTACGATGCGAGGATTGCGAGCGGTGCAAAGGTCCAACCCGGCAGAGTGGTGACTTCACCTTTTTCCAGAACCCAAAAAAGGTGACAGAAACACACACACACACACATCCCCACATCCCCCCGTCCCCACATCCCATCCTGATTTTGGAAACCTTCAAAGTGTTCAACTATCAGGGGCCCCGCCGTGTTGACGTTGGTTGGTTGCTTGATTGATTGGCTTGATTGGCTGATTGGCTGGTTGATTGAGTGAGTGAGTGAGTGAGTGATTGATTGATTGATTGATTGATTGATTGATTCATTGACGGATTGATTTTACTGCATGGTTTCAAGTGGAAGCCAACATGGCAGAAACAGCAGCGCGGACTGCGGCAACTTCAGCGACGTCCGGTCCGCGATGCGGGGGCGAGGCAGCAGCGGATCCGCGCCGCCTGCGGATCCGAAATCCCATGGCGATGTGAATGGGAAGTCACGGGGCAAACATGACATGTCCGCGGTCCACGGAAAAAAACATGTCCCCCGCCCCTGAAAAAGGTGGAAAAGTGGGCGGAATCCACTGGTTGCAACTGGGCCAAATTTCGGACAAGGAACCAAGTCTATTTTACTAGGGGAACCCCAAAAAACAAAAAAACTAGTGTTGTTTCGGTTTTCTGGGTTTTGTTGCTTGTTGAACTTTGAAGTACAGCAGTAGACCAAGGTGGTTGGGCCAAAACCCACCACTCAGCATAGTTTTTGCTGAAGTCAACATGTTGAAAGCATTCCGCCACAACTGTAGCACGCAACCAAAGGAAACTAGAACCCATTGACGTCTGGTGTTGGCAATGTGGTTTTGCAGGTTCCATAGGCCTTTAGCCAATAAGCAACCAGGTGGTAGAACGCGTGTGTTTTGTCCTTTTGGTTTCAATTCTCGGCCAGCTTTTTTCTAAAGGGTGCTCAAAAACACAGGTACACATCCACCCACCCCACCCACCCACCCACCCCACCCACCCACCCACCCACCCACCCAGGCGGCTGATCACGGCCTCCGGGCTGCGCCAGTTGCTCCAAGAGCCACCGATCGATGGAGTCCGCCGGAACCTTCTCGAGGCCCAGCGCCTGACAGCCCAAAAACCGCAAGAAGCGGTGGATTTGTCAAACAACTTGGTGCAATGAATCTCCCTCAAAGGAAGCCAGCAGTTGCATGGTTTATAGGCTAATTCCCGGCTGAGCACCGGGAAGACCACTGGGAGGTCTTTTCTTGAGGGAACCGTTTGTGGTTTTGCAGGGCCACCAGCCTACTTCTCATAGTTTTGCCACCAAATGGGCGTCGTTTTTTTGAGGGAACCATTTCTTGTTTTACAGGCCCCTTGGGGGGCGTGGAGCGCGTGTCCGGGCGGATCGATTTTTTTGGCAGTGGGAAGGGGCATTTGAATCATGGCTTTTTCCATCAAAATAAAGGGACATCACCATTTAAGGATCCCTGTGTGGACGGACGGAATCCATTTCGCACCACGTTGAAACCATGGTTGAAACCAGTGGGTGTTGGCATTTACGGGGGAAACATCATTCCAGGTGGCGCAGGATTTCGTCCATCCACAGTAGGGGGAGTTCGAGCTGACGAGACAACCGGCGTAAGGTTAACATTGGATTGGTCAAAAGGACCCCAGTCAGGGGAACACCCCTTAGATAATATCCTAAAAGGCTGACGTGTGGTACTCCGGATGAACCCGAAGTCAGCATCCTGAGGATTCCATGTTGTGACTAATGTCGACCTTCTCAAAAAAGCCCATCCAATTATCCAAAGAGGAGCGGGGCTCCCCGCAAAAAGGGGGCACCGGGCGCCAATTGAGCAGGGCCTCTGCTTAATCCGGAGCTAACATTGCTGGGAGGTAGATCGAATCGGCTTCTACATTTCGGAGAAGCGAGCAGATTTCTGTTTATTGCCAGACTCAACTCACTATAGGTTGCCCTTCGGGTTTCCTTCACGTTCGCTTGTAACCAGCAAAATCAAGGGAATGCGACCTTTGGGAAAGAATCCTCATATCAGTCAGGATTCGGAGAGGGGTAGGTGTCGTTTTTTGAAGGAACCATTTGTGGTGTTACAGGGCAAGGAGAACCCACTTCCATCATTTTTTGCCAATAACTGGGTTCTAGGATGCTATCTGGGTGAACATTCCAACAAATGGGTGGCTTGTCAGGGTGATTGTTTTTGCTGGATTTGGACCCCTCGTCTTTTTTTGGTGTTAAACCAAAAAAAGAAAACGTTAGGTTTTCCCTTTTAAGCCCACGCACGGCAAAAGGGCACCCTCAAAAAAGACACGCCCACATGAGTTCTAGGATGCTGCGCGCATGAGAGTCCTGTGCTTTTTTGATCTATCCCCTGAGTTATGGCCGGAAAGTCGGT